ATATCACAAAGGGGAAATTTGAAGACATTCAAGAACTTCTCAAGTTTGTCCCACCTGTTTACCATGCCTTCTACAACGAGCTACCTCATACAGAAAAAAAGAAGAAATAGTTGTATGAAGGACGTGTTAAAAATCCTAATTGAAAGTGTATTTTATCATATTTTTGTAATTTAGAGGCTTTTAAAAAGATTTTTCATAATGGTATTTAAGTCATTGCGCACTTAATTGACCACATGGCTGGCTTGTTAGATTATTAATGTCGTTTTGACAAGAAACTTGAGCAAAATCTAATGTATTTTTTCAAGTCAAATGGTATAACTAGACACATTTTATAGACTTTAGCCAACCCAAATGGTATATCTTCAGATATACCATTCTCAGTTCAATCATTTTATTGTTTATAGTATAGAAAAAATGGTATATCGTGAGATATACCAGTTTTAGTATAATTCTAGTTTTAAAAATGGTATATAGACAGATATACCATTTTTAAGAAGTGTTTTTTACTTAAAAGTGGTATAACTAGTAGTTGAAGGGATATAAATCGCTTAAATTCAATCTATTTTAAATCATTTTATATATCTGAAGTTCGAGTACTTACTGTCTATGCCTAAACAAACAATTTAGGCTAAAATCAAGAAGTCATCATGATATGGGATCTTTTAAATCAGTAAAATGCATTTATCTCAAAACTATCAAAAACAGATATACCAGTTTTGCATGTGGTCCCTCATATATGTATGTATAGACGCTTCGGCAGTCAATTGTAGCCTACATTTAAGTGTCCGTAGATTCAAAAGTATAAAAGATACAGTGCTTTCGAACCACAGGTTTTAAAAATAATCGTTTATACTTTAGTTTACATTATATCGAAAAATAATTTAACGTCATCATCATCACTTGATGACGTCATCAAGTTAAGTGTTTTTAAAACTTGATTTTTGACAAAATAACAACTTTTTAAATCGATTTAACACTATTTAGGAGTAATTTTGTTCAAAATCTGAGGACATTTTTACCTTAGATAATTGTTCAAGCATTCTGAAAATCTACGGGAAAAGTTTCCTACCTTGCTCCTTCATAAAGATATTCGCTATTGAAGTTAGTGCTTTTTTGAAGAATAATTTTATAAAAACACAAAAGTTGTGAATTAGTATCCTTTGGTGTTGGGCCATCCCTTGGGTTGTGGAGCTCAATTTTGCTTTCTAAAGGTCTAAATTGTGTAATAGGCTAGTTTTAAAGTTGAAAATCGAAAAGTCGCACACGTGGGGACACGCCCAAATTGATTTAAAATAGCCAAAATCACTGAAAATTGTTATTTTCACGATTTTTATCAAATTTGGAGTCCCGTTGTGATTTAAGTTCTTTTTGAAATCTTCTGAAACTTTGCATGATTATCAAATTACTATATATAAAATGCCACTATGCAAAAAGTTACGGTGATTCAATATTGTATGCGCACGCAACGTCCGCTCAAAGTTTGCACGTGCGAAAGGTGAGAATTTTGCTCATTCGTGATTTCGAATATATTCTGCACGATATTTAAATGGCATTATATATGAATTTAATGCCAACTTGAATGATTAAAAAGTGCCATATTCAGTCTGTTATCGACAGATATGCCTACATAAAACAAGGAAACGTTTTCAAAATTTTGAAATCGTTGAAATTACCTCCTTATTAATGAAGTTTCGACTGTGTACATTATCCTGACATTTATATAATCAAAATTAGAGATGATATTTGACCAAAACCCATAATCATGGGTAGAGTGAACCGCTGCCAGTGTCTCTCTTTTCCAAACAAAAGGAAACGATATTAATTTGAGGAACCGTCCGCAAATGCAAATTGATACCGAGAATGAAATCGGTCGCTCGCTTAATTTCCCATTCATTCACGGCATACGAATTGTAATAAAGCTTATTGAATGGGAAAAGCGAGCGACCGATTTCATTCTCGGTATCAATTTGCATTTGCGGACGGTTCCTCAAATTAATATCATTTCCTTTTGTTTGGAAAAGAGAGACACTGGCAGCGGTTCACTCTACCCATGATTATGGGTTTTGGTCAAATTTTAATCAATTAAATTTAATTATATAGATTAATGTTACATTTGAGTATTAACTTGATTGTTCGGTCTTGATTACGGTAGATTACGGATTTTAATCAATTAAATTTAATCATATAGATTAATGTTACATTTGAGTATTAACTTGATTGTTCGGTCTTGATTACGGTAGATTACGGATTTTAATCAATTAAATTTAATCATATAGATTAATGTTACATTTGAGTATTAACTTGATTGTTTCTTATGAGTTAGTTATATGCGTGGTTTGCATTATTTCTTGACAAATTCTAAATTCTAAATTGATTACGGGGGGGGGGGGGGCCGGGGGTCAAACCTTGATTACGTAATACTAATATAGGGGGGGGGGGGTTCGGTCTTGATTACGGTTGATTACGGAGGGGGAGGGGGGGTGGGTAAAAATTGCCAAAATATTGATTACGTAATATGTGAACGACCCCTAAGGACAAAGTTGAGGCCGAGATGACACATTTGGACACTTACAAGTGTTTGGATATTATTAGGGCTTTCTTAAATGGGCAGAAAATTAGTCGAGGTTCAATTTAAATTATATTATTATTAACGCTATAATTATATATTATTATTGTGGACTTTATCTATCGGATTATCATTATCTTTTATAAAATATTGGCTTATGTTCTGAACAGTTTTATTCAATTCTTGAAGTAATTATGAAATTTTACTTACTGTACATCTCTATACAGCCCTCTAACAGATAACAGCCATTTTAATTTTGTGGGGACAAATACCTAACAGCCCTCTAACCGGCTAATAGCCTTCTAACAGTCAGTCAACTGTTAAAAAAAGAAAGAAGAAAAAAACCTATTTGCTGCTTATGTGACAAACAAAAAATTGTGTGAGTGTGTGTGTGTGTGTGTGTGTGTGTGTGTGTGTGTGTGTGTGTGTGTGTGTGTGTGTGTGTGTGTGTGTGTGTGTGTGTGTGTGTGTGTGTGTGTGTGTGTGTGTGTGTGTGTGTGTGTGTGTGTGTGTGTGTGTGTGTGTGTGTGTGTGTGTGTGTGTGTGTGTGTGTGTGTGTGTGTGTGTGTGTGTGTGTGTGTGTGTGTGTGTGTGTGTGTGTGTGTGTGTGTGTGTGTGTGTGTGTGTGTGTGTGTGTGTGTGTGTGTGTGTGTGTGTGTGTGTGTGTGTGTGTGTGTGTGTGTGTGTGTGTGTGTGTGTGTGTGTGTGTGTGTGTGTGTGTGTGTGTGTGTGTGTGTGTGTGTGTGTGTGTGTGTGTGTGTGTGTGTGTGTGTGTGTGTGTGTGTGTGTGTGTGTGTGTGTGTGTGTGTGTGTGGATACTCACCATGTCAGTGTCACTTCACCTATTTTGTCTCTATACTGTGTCCATATCCTCGCTTGGCACTTGGACTTGGAGTTGGACGTTGACTGAATTCCTGACAGTACCTTATTTCTGTAGTAGTGGAACAGCAATACTAAGGTAATGGGACTACTGCGGACCCTCTACCGGCCAAACCTTGTTAACAAAGCCGCAGTCAAGGTTCGGTGAACGGTAGTTAAAAGCGCTTAAGGGACATAAGTCAAATTGGTAGAGCAACATCATGTAGTGGACGTCTTAAGAAATGAGGAGTAGGTAGAATGTTAGGTTGCTCCTTTATAAATCGTCTTTTTCTCCGATAATAAGTTGACATCAAGTCTTGAAAATTATTCGAGAAGAATCTCGAATAATTTAGTTGCAGCGTGCCACATGGCTATCTAAACTGCAAACCCTACCCATTGCTGAGCAAGGCCTTTATCTTCTCCGACGAGCGGGATCATCAATAATGAGGTCTGATCGTCATCTTCGTACAGCGTTCGATGTCTGTGTGAAGGTAAAATGGTGATATCCTCTGGATCAGGCAGAGGTCGAGTGTTATCGGGATTATTTCTGTAGTAGTGGAACAGCAATACTAAGGTAATGGGACTACTGCGGACCCTCTAAGATGTACGAAGATGACGATCAGACCTCATTATTGATGATCCCGCTCGTCGGAGAAGATAAAGGCCTTGCTCAGCAATGGGTAGGGTTTGCAGTTTAGATAGCCATGTGGCACGCTGCAACTAAATTATTCGAGATTCTTCTCGAATAATTTTCAAGACTTGATGTCAACTTATTATCGGAGAAAAAGACGATTTATAAAGGAGCAACCTAACATTCTACCTACTCCTCATTTCTTAAGACGTCCACTACATGATGTTGCTCTACCAATTTGACTTATGTCCCTTAAGCGCTTTTAACTACCGTTCACCGAACCTTGACTGCGGCTTTGTTAACAAGGTTTGGCCGGTAGAGGGTCCGCAGTAGTCCCATTACCTTAGTATTGTTGTTCCACTACTACAGAAATAATCCCGATAACACTCGACCTCTGCCTGATCCAGAGGATATCACCATTTTACCTTCACACAGACATCGAACGCTGTACGAAGATGACGATCAGACCTCATTAGTACCTTATTACCTTATTAAAATTGAATTCACTTAAATTTTCGTAAACATTTAGACAAGAAACATTTAGTACATATTATGTCATACTCATATTCCGTGTCATCATTATTACACGTTATACATATACGTTATTATAGTTTATTATTAAAATATTGTTGTATCTATCTGGTTTGTGGTTGTTCGTGATGAAACACTCCTGTCAAAGGACAGAGAATCCCAGCTCCCAGAGCGTCAATCTGTGTCGGTGTATAGTGAACGGCAGATGACTTTAGCGCTGAGTATAATTTATACTCAGAATACGTACTTTCTCTCTTTATACTATAAAGAGAGAAAGTACGTATTTTGAAGGATCGTGTTTTGAGCAACGATCTCGATGGGTTGACTGTTGACATCGTCAATCAAGTTGAAATTGAATGTTTATTTTTTTGCAGCAACACTAACAGCGTGATTGTTGAAAATTAAAACAACGACTTAATTGCAAGGTCTATTTTAATGTCTAAAAGTAAACGTTTGAAACCCTAAAAACCATGTTAAAATATTACATAAGGTGAAAACAACGAAGTTTTAAAAATCATTCCAATTGCTGCAACAGGCTATCAAATTATTGAATATAACTGATATGATTCTTTTCATTAGAATGTTTCGTATATCAGCGTCAGCTCCTTTTTACTCTACTGCATCAACATGCCGATGACCTGCAAATTATAGTAGTTATTTAAACTTGAGTTTTTCAAACGATCCAAAACATAATAAAGTAATAAATCAGAAATTGTCATAATATTATGCTGTATTATGAACAAATCAATACAATACATTACAATATTCTGCGTACTAACTTATTAATATATGCGTACTAACTTATTAATTACACACAATGCAGCTAGTTTAATGTTAATAGTGAGGGATTCCGGATTAGGTTTTTGGGGAGGTTTTACTTCTATAAATAAGGGAATAAGCTTTAAGGACCCACCTCAACTTCAGCGAGACATAAAGGATGGCGGCCTGCTGGCCTTATTTCTATCACTTGTCCGCTTACGGCGATGTTGATCAAATTGGGGAATCCTATTTTGGAGTTCACAATCCCAACAAGTTCACCATCGACATACACAGTGGCGTTATCGAGCCTATCAGCACAACAGTCCTCACGTCCATAAACCTTGTTTTTTAATACTGTCAATTATACTACTTCATAGCTTATAATTTAAGAACATGAATTTAATGTAGTCAGTTAAATCAAAACGTTGAACTGCTACCTTTCACTAAAAAATGTTAGTTTCCCTTGATCATGATCTGATCTTATCTACGTGATTATTAAACATTTTAAACACTGAACGCACCTTGATTTGTTCCATGTACGCGTTCTCTGGGAATGTCAATCTCCACCAGGCATTTGGCCCTGTCGTTTTAGTGTGGGTAATCGAATTCCTGAAAATAACAATCATCAATTTTACTGTTGTATGGCAGAAAATATTTGTTGTTGCCAAAGATTAGATCTCCAGATCTTACAAAAGTTTTTATTTTTCCAAAAAAATCTCAGGATTATCTGAACAAACAATGAAATTAAAGTTCCTTACGATCCCCATCTGTTGGAAGTATTGCCATCAATGGCCCGGGAATAGGGACTACGGGTGGAAGATGAATAATTGATATTCCAACAGCATCTTGTTCCCTGCATTGTGCTGATTCCGGGAAGCATTTTGTTTACGCTCTCATCATTCTGTAGGATGAGATATCGTTCATTTAAAATTGGGTAATTATAGGCCTGTCAAGGATTTCAGCCTAATTAAGAGCTGATCAATTGCAGCTAGTTGTGCCATATAAGGGATAACTGAGGTCACGTGACATTCAGTCCTATCACGTGACCGCTAATCCTATCACGTGACCTTGATTCGTAAAGCCTCGGGCACGTGATCACATTCGTAACGTGTCGTATGCCGACTAGGAGATTTTGTGACGTCACCAGAGCTAAAGCTACTTGATCAGGCCTTATATGGAATAATATCGTGTATCGGGTGTAATTGGACCCAATTAGAGCAGCTGAGCGCTCAATTATAGCAGCATCTGGTACCACCTTCTGAAACCCAGCAGACAGCTGGCCCAGAGAATCGAAATTAGAAGGATTTTTTATTGATGGAAATCGAAGCGGAAACCTTGTAACCCTATGTTTTCGATGACGCCGAACAAGATTAAACAGGTTATAATTGTCCTACTCTCGTGTAAATTGCTCTAAAACGTGATTGAAATTGTAATGATGCTATCAATTGTAATACAGTTTTTACATTAAGCTGAGCGGCGTAACGGCTGGCATTCCTGGGCCGCGCTTATCCCAGATTGTCATTCCGCCGCAGCTTCAATTTATCTGGATATTACAGCCTGGGGTCCCCAGGTAACGACTGGAACCGCTATATCTGCCTAATCTCAGCTATTGTAAATAACGAAGCCTGTGATCCGCACATCAGGTATTGACCACATTGAACGGGCTTGAATCGAACAAGCCGTGTTATTAATATTAAAGATATTAATACCAAAAATCGTATTACTAGATTACCTTCTTGTCATTTGTGCGAAGTGCGTACTCTTTATACTGCAGTTTGAAGTGCATTACAGAGTTAATGTTATGTGTATTATACAGTTACAGTTATGTAACTGTTGCACACAGTAAAACTTACTGCGATCGCGCTGATAAGAAGTGAACTGATAAGAGTCGAGTAAAATTGCAACGTAACTTAAATCAATGTAACACCGCTATATGAATAGTGATCATTTCTCAAATAGTTTTCTCAATATTGCAATGAAGTTGTCCGATTTTATTGATGGAACGTGTGACAGCCTTCCATGTCACAGTCCTCCGTCAAACAAGGACATCCTTCGTTTTCTTTTGAGCCACAAGGAAAACCATGCGACTCATGTCGATTTAATGCTGGCCGAGGTTTCAAGTTTGATATTAAGTCATTACAGTACCATCGAAATGTACAGGCAAACGGACGCGGACTTCTTTCAGCCTTGCAATATTGTCAAGTGAGTGCTAGTGTTTTTTAGGTATTTACCCTACAGCACAGGTTGTTCACGATACATCAGTCCGGTTTCAAACATATATTTTCTGCTGGGGGAAAATAAGAGAAATATAGCCGATCGATCTTTCATAAATTAATATACAGATGTTTGAAACCAAACCAATGACCAATGTTTCATGAACAATCTGTAGTCCCTGTGATGCTTCGGCGTGGAATCAGCTGTGCCGCCATGGTAGACGTTTTTCGAGTGATTCACCACTCCATTGTAACAGAGAAACCTAGCCATTGACGGGGACCCATCGGCTCTTGACAGAGGCTGAGATGAGGACGGCTTCCAATAACGTCCGGGAACAGTTCATTTCTAGTCTGGGACAGCTCGAATTCAATGGTAAGAAGTAAGAAGCAATCCAAATAATGAAAGATATATTGTACAAAAATATAGATCATCACCCGATTTACACGTTTTAATTTTTATAGCTATCTATTTTGACGGCAAAGAAAGCGAGAGTTTGGTTTGGCTCGACGGAAAGAACCAAAAGATCAGGGAAGAAACATACACTATATTGGCATATCCTGGTGCACATTCTCTAGGATTCGTCACTATAGATGACAAGACAGGTTTTTATTGTGCATTGTGTTTCAAGTCAAACAACTTATCGTACCATCTTAACATCTTAACATCTTAAAATTATGACATCTTAACATCGTAACATCTTAACATCTTAATATCTTAACATCTTAACATCTTAAAATTATGACATCTTAACATCGTAACATCTTAACATCTTAACATCTTAACATCTTAACATCTTAACATCTTAATATTTTAACATCTTAACATCTTAACATCTTAACATCTTAACATCTTAACATCTTAACATCTTAACATCTTAACATCTTAACATCTTAACATCTTAACATCTTAACATCTTATCGTCGACATAGCTTGAACTTAATTCAACTTGAAACATAAAACTTAAAGCTCAAAACAAGTTTCTGATAGTATAGTAGTAAAATACTTTTTGAGTTAATCATGTCGTTATTGAATATAAAGTTAAAGAAATGGAACTAAATTTAGCCATATATTCTGTTCCTGATAAGTGATACTGTAATAATTATACTCATTACTCAAGCATTCAAATTTCAGATGCACGCTCAGATCAAACTGCGTCCTCTTATTGAGGATGGGGCTTATCATGTTTTTACAAGCCTCACACTCAATAATGACATACAACTTTCGCCAAAAGAACGAACAGCAGTTTTGAAGAAAGTTTGTAACAATAGTTACTTCGCTCATCCTGAAGCAATTATTGTTTGCAGTCTCGGTGAGAAATTAGTACATGTTTTATTTTAGTGGATATTTGTTGTCACGAAGCTCTTGTTACAGTTTAGTTATTTAAATTGTTCACCTTTGTCCCCGCTTTTGGTTCTGTTCCTTTAAATAAATGTGAATGAAAATACTCCTCAAGGTGACGCAGATAGAGCTGTTCGGGAAAAAGGCGTGGCTCTCTGCAGGCAGCTTATAGAACTAGAGCAGAAGGGCATGAACCGGACAATACGCCCGAATGGAAAACCGCGGATATTTTGCAAGCCAGAGATTAACAGAAATGCAAAATCGTACCTTGTCATTTACAACACTGACAACACTGACATCGAGGATAAAGATCCGGTGAGAAAGACTAAGTCTTTCAAACCGTACCATTTATTTGGTCTCTGTTACAAAACTGCGTGCAGTAAGTTCATTTCAAATTGTATTTACTATGACGTAACTATTAATATTATATTATTGTATTAATAAAGTTATTGACATACGTTTGTATTCAAAGCTATAAGGTCAAAGTGAAAACAATACGGATGGTATTGAATTTAAAAAGGAAAGTTTATGATAACAAGTTATATTTCAGAAGAGCTGAAGTGGGCTGCAGTCACTATTCCATCGGTAGTAAGGGTGCATCCCTCTGATCCTGATCAATTCGACAGGTTCATAGAATCACCTTTGGTGACGAAATATCCCTGCCACCAGCAAGCAGTCGAAAGAGCGGTGGCACTGATGACAGAATCAAAGCTGAAGTGTGCTAACAAAGACATGAAAGCAGGACACCACATTGTTGTCTCTGAGGAGAGGCAACAAAATCCAGGAAAACAGAGGAAGTTCAAAAAACTAATGAAATGATTTATTAAAAGAGAACACTCGTTATATAATATTTTGTATGATGTTTCACAATATTGAGTTTATTCCCGAAAATTTTGAGACTACTTCTTTAAAATTAGCTTTCTCTGGATGATATGCAGACTGCAGCAAAGAAATATCAAACAGTCATAAATATGTTGGTGATTCCATCGCTATACTTCGTCTACACACTGAACTTAGCAATCTTGATTATAAGTATTAAACACTGCAATATATATATATAAATAGATTTTAATTCCAAGTGTTCGTAGAATAATTGAAAACGTAGCACTGTAAATGCGCCAGCTATTCAACTTGTGATAACTTAATCAAATTGATGACATTCAAGTGCATTTTGAAAAAATTTACCCGATACTATGATACTTTTTATAGTAATAACACGACGTTCAATTCAAGCCCATTCAATGACTGATGTGCGGATCACAGGCTTCGTTATTGACAATAACTGAGATTAGGCAGATATAGTGGTTCCAGTCGTTACCTGGGGACCCCAGGCTGTAATATTCAGAAAAATTGAAGCTGCGGCGGAATGACAATCTGGGATGAGTGCGGCCCAGGAATGCCAGCCGTTACGCCGCTCAGCCTAATGTAAAAACTGTATTACAATTGATAGCATCATTACAATTTCAATCACGTTTTAGAGCAATTTACACGAGAGTAGGACAATTATCACCTGTTTAATCTTGTTCGGCGTCATCGAAAACATAGGGTTACAAGGTTTCCGCTTCGATTTCCATCAATAAAAAATCCTTCTAATTTCGATTCTCTGGGCCAGCTGTCTGCTGGGTTTCAGAAGGTGGTACCAGATGCTGCTATAATTGAGCGCTCAGCTGCTCTAATTGGGTCCAATTACACCCGATACACGATATTATTCCATATAAGGCCTGATCAAGTAGCTTCAGCTCTGGTGACGTCACAAAATCTCCTAGTCGGCATACGACACGTTACGAATGTGATCACGTGCCCGAGGCTTTACGAATCAAGGTCACGTGATAGGATTAGCGGTCACGTGATAGGACTGAATGTCACGTGACCTCAGTTATCCCTTATATGGCACAACTAGCTGCAATTGATCAGCTCTTAATTAGGCTGAAATCCTTGACAGGCCTATAATTACCCAATTTTAAATGAACGATATCTCATCCTACAGAATGATGAGAGCGTAAACAAAATGCTTCCCGGAATCAGCACAATGCAGGGAACAAGATGCTGTTGGAATATCAATTATTCATCTTCCACCCGTAGTCCCTACCCGGGAAGCTTCTCCATTGTGATCAGTGTCGATCTGCGTTGCTAATCCTTCTGATGCGATATTGTCGCACCCATCTTTGCAAGGATCACCTTCTATTTTAGCCCCCATCACCTAGGAGATTAATACTCGATTAGATATTTGATGTTGTTTAGATGCAAACTATTCAGTATAATATTTAGACTCAACTAAACCATCGTGCCCAAAAGCATTATTTGCTGTCACATATAAGTCATATATCTTGAAAACAGGTTATTGACTATCGAAGACGAAATTAGGGTAGTCACTAAGTCACTGGATTTAATGTTCATTTTATTGTTTAAAGTAAAATTATTTCCAAGTAGACGGTAAAGTTATATTTGTCTGTGACGAATTTAATATATGGACACGTTCATTTGAGTTTGAGGATATTGGTAAATATAAGTGACCCTATTAAAAGGCACAGTGTAGTTGACTTTGTCACACTATGAAATTACACAAACCCTTGATGGTTAGGATAATCGTCTCATCCTCTAGGCTAACTTTGTCACATAACGATATCTTAATCAGGTGATAAGATATCGCTTAAATACGGCCGGCACGGAAATGGTTACATTGTCACACTATAAACATGTGACAGAGTAAATATGGACCCCTTGCTGCCGTTTTTGACCAAAATTTTGAGTGTCCAGTTGATTGGATGGGTACATATGACCATTACCTACATATTTAAAGACTTTTTTCGTTAGATGGTGCACTCAGGTTTACTCTGTCACACATTTAAGAAAATATGTGAACAATGTTTAGGGAACCCTGATAAGCAATGCTGAGTAGTGTAGGTTTAGTTAATGGCCTGGAAGTGCTAGGAATTGTTATTATATCATATAGTCGCAAGGAATTAAAACACAGAAGGCACAGACAAGTTTACTTTGTCACACAATCTTGATGATATCTGAACATGTGTGAAATTGAACAAATAATGATATACCAGATTAAACCCTTTGTATTACGTACTATGGACCAAACAACACTGCTAGTACCATGCACCAGTCACATAAATCATTATCGGGTGGTAATATGTTAACAGTGTCACAATTAAACTACCGCAACATGGTCAAAAATAGGGTAATTTTGTCACAAAAAAAAATTATAATTCTGTCAGCTCCTTGCTGGCAAAATAACTAGTTTATCGAAATTTTTTTGATGATAAAATTACATAGTATTCTAATAGAGGTATAGTTCTTCAAAATAGGGGCAAGACATGTTTACTTTGTCACATCAGTTATTATAAGAGTTAGGTAATCGTCATCAGATTAACCGATCTTTTTCGTAGTATGGATCGATTAATATAGGCAATAAAGCATCCTAATTCCTATGCCAATTTTAACACACTATCTTGATATTGATGGGGCAGGAAAAGTTAATTTTGTCACATTTTTAGTGACTTTGACAAATTTAACCTGAAATTGTTAAACTTGAGCTCTGATGTTCTGGACAATATTCTACCAATCGTTTCTGAAAGAATGTTGAATTCTAATAGAGTTATAGATCTTCAAAATAGGGGAAAGACATGTTTACTTTGTCACATCAGTTATTATTAGAGTTAGGTAATCGTCATCACATTAACATATATTCTTTTGTAGTTTGGATTGATTTATTTAGGTAATAAATTATAAAGCAGCCTATGCTAATTTTTACACACTATCTTGAAATTGTTGGGGCAGGAAAAGTTAATTTTGTCACATTTTTAGTGACTTTGACAAATTTAGCCTAAAATTGCTAAACTTGAGCTCTGATGTTCTGGACAATATTCTACCAATCGTTTCTGAAAGAGTATTGAATTCTAATAGAGTTATAAATCTTCAAAATAGGGGCAAGACATGTTTACTTTGTCACATCAGTTATTATTACAGTTGGGTAATCGTCATCACATTAACATATATTTTTTTGTAGTTTGGATTGATTTATTTAGGTAATAAGGCAGCCTATGCTAATTTTTACACACTATCTTGAAATTGCTGGGGCAGGAAAAGTTAATTTTGTCACATTTTTAGTGACTTTGACAAATTTAACCTAAAATTGTTAAACTTGAGCTCTAATGTTCTGGACAATATTCTACCAATTTTTTCTGAAAGAATGTTGAATTCTAAAAGAGTTATAGAATATATAGATCTTCAAAATAGGGGCAAGACATGTTTACTTTGTCACATCAGTTATTATAAGAGTTATTATAAGAGACTATTTCATTATATAATCATTGTTTTTAACCTATTTACGATTTCGTATAATTTTTTGTGACAATGTAAACATCAACTGATCTTAACTTGCATCAACTACATTGTCATCATGTAAAGTTTTTCCGCCTTTCAAACCAAAATCAGATATAAATAATTCGCCCAAAATTTTAAATTCCATATATTATGACAGAATTAACCTCATTTCCCAATAACCAAGTGCCTGTAATAGCTATCTATTCAAAGCAACATATTTTAGGGCTATGATTGGTACTCCATACTTGGTAGATCAACCATCAAATAATGAGTAAAAAGGGTTTTGAGGACACCTCACAGTAGAATAGAGGTATGGTATTCTGAGTGTGACAAAGTTACCTAAATATTGCCTTGTAACCGTTCGATCCGTGCCCTTTAACCAATGTTGTATCATAATTGTTAGATTGACCTAATCTACTATGTTTCAGACCAAGGAATGATAATTAGACACCTGCAGTTAACTAAGTCACAAAAATGTGACATGTGAAACATTATAGTGCCTAACAACAATAGATTTTCTTTCTGAACAGTGCATATGGGAGTATGGGTTACGTGGCTAATGTTCAGAACTTCTGAACGTGCTAGGTTAATAGATGTCAAAATTAAGCCACTATCGTCAAAAACGCTATTATTTTTGTTTACCAATATCCTCAAACTCAAATGAACGTGTCCATATATATTTTTTTTAATCATTTTTATTTTTTAAATATGTGACGAGATTTGCCTGGTGGTTTAAGAAATCTAAGTCGTTAGATATGTAGATAATAGTGATATGAAACTATCTTATGAACTGGAGAAATGGTAACGGAAACATGTAACAGAACAAACTGAGCACAGACTAGCGGCAACTAATATTAATGGATAAGCCGCACACATCCTAAATTCCAGGTTCACATTTACACTAGTGCCACATTCCCCACTATCACTATTCTCCTATCAGCACAAACCGTAATTGATTTTAACAATCGCACAACACTACATATCCAAACTAATGGCATAGCAATATCTACGATATCCTAAATTAGTCCTAAACAAACTAAGCGCGAGTCTGAAAGGCTGTTGGAAGCACAGAGTGCTCCATATTTTGTTTTTATCAATAAACTGTTCTTTTCATTTTCTTTTTTTAAATTTATTAATTGCGTGCAAATTTCTGTTTCAGATTTAATCTATCACAGTGCTGGCAAGCACGAGCGGTGTCTTTATTGGGGGTATACTATGTACCCCCTTTACTATTGTACCCCCTTTACTATTATACCCCCTTTACTATTATAACCCCTTTGGTACTCGTCGGAAGCCTCTTTCGTGCACGCGAAGCGTGCACTCCGGCCGGAGGCGGCGGCCGAAGGCCGCCGCCTCCGGCAGGAGTTTTTCAGGCATTAAGACTCATCGGAAGTCGTTCAGCAGATTTATTTTTAGTTCAAAACATTCTAATTTGATGTCAAAGATGACAGGAATAAAAATAGTTATGTTGAGATTTTTAAGAAATTTGCATAAAATAGTAAAAATACTCGCCAGCACTGTTATACGAAATTCGGTAAAAAACCCAAAATCGCCATATTCAGGTGCCTTAAAAACCATGTTAAAATTGAGTTAGAGATCTGAAATTGTTCAGGGCGTCTAGACGTTGACCAAATCGACTGCAAAAAAAGTTTCAGGTTTCAGGAGCATCGGGAAGTGGGTTTTCTAGAACCCCTGTTTTACGATAGATTGTCGTGATACATATATTCAGGGATAGACGCTTTATTCAGGGATAGACGCTTTGCCAGTCAATTTTAGCCTGTATTTAATTGTCCATAGATTCAAAAGTATAAAAGATACAGCCATTTCCGACCACAGGTCTTGCAAATAATTGTTTATACTTTAGTTTACATTGTATAAAAAAATTATATGACGTCATAAACACCCCTTGATGACGTCATCAAGTTAACCGTTTTTAAAACTTGATTTTTGACAAAGTAATAACTTTTAAAATTAATTTTAAACCATTAAGGAGTAATTTTATTCAAAATCTGAGGAAATTTTTATCTTAGATAATTGTTCAAGCATTCTGAAAATCTACCGGAAAGTTTTTCTAGCTTGCTCCTTCATAAAGATATTCGTCATTGAAGTTTGTGCTTTTTTGAAGAATTATTTTATAAAAACGTCAATTTTGCGATTTAGTATTCTCTGGTGTTGGGCCATGCCTTGGGTTGTGGAGCTCAGTTCTGCTTCCTATAGGTATAAATTGTGTATTAGGCTAGTTTTAAAGTTGAAAATCGAAAAGTTGCACACGTGGGGACACGCCCAAATTGATAGAAAATTGCTAAAATCACTGAAAATTGCTGTTTTCGTCATTTTCTGTCAACTTTAGAGTGCCGTTGTGATTACAGTTCTTCTTGAAATACTTTGAAACTTTGCATGCTTATTAAACTATATATAAAACAATTACATGCAAAAATTTACGGCGATTCAATATTGGATGCGCACGCAACGTCTGCTCAAAGTTTGCACGTGCGAAAGGTGAGAATTTTGCTCATTCGTGATTTCCAACAAATTCTGCTTTGCCACGACAGTTTAATGTCATTATATATGAATTTAATGCCAACTTGAATGAGTATTAAGTGGCATATTCAGTCAGTGATCGACCGATATGCTTCCCTAAACACAAGGAAATGTTTTTAAAGGATAGATTTCGAAATCGTTAAAACTTCCTCCTTATTAATGAAGACATCAGTTTATATTTCGACTTTATAAAGTACCCTGACATTATAATCAAAAAGAGATGATATTTGACCAAAACCCATAATCATGGGTAGAGTGGACCGCTGCCAGTGTCTCTCTTTCCCAAACAAAAGGAAATGATATTAATTTGATTGACCGTTCTCAAATGCAAAATGATACCGAGAATGAAATCGGTCGCTCGCTTTTCCCATTCATTTACAATTGTAATAGATTAAGAAAAACTACCCAAAGGCAGCTGTACTCGGCAATGAAGATTCAATAAACTTCAGCTAATTCAATAAGTAATACTAATAACTACCACCCTTACCCCGAAATACTAGGTATCGACCCGAACGCAACCCAAAGAGATTTTTACAGCATCTGATTGATGTAATCAATCGAAACTTATTACAATTCGTAAGCCGTGAATGAATGGGAAAAGCGAGCGACCGATTTCATTCTCGGTATCATTTTGCATTTGAGAACGGTCAATCAAATTAATATCATTTCCTTTTGTTTGGGAAAGAGAGACACTGGCAGCGGTCCACTCTACCCATGATTATGGGTTTTGGTCAAATTTATGATATACATTTATGATTATGTAATAAAGTTATTATATTCGTAAACATTGACTGGCTTATAAACCAGTCCCCAAACATGTTATCAAAATTGGAGAATAATCATCCGGAGGATGTATATTGTATAATAATAATATTTGAATGAACAAACCAGAACTTCCGCAAGAGAAAGCTGGGCTCCACCTTCTTTATTTCTGATCATTATCTCGGAGCCAACTCTATTAACCGGCACAACCATAGGGGCTCCATCATTGTGGTTTAATGTTCCTACTTTCTTGCCATCAATTAAGACAGAGGCACCATCAATTCGTTCCGAGCAACAATCTGTTCTTCCAAAGATTTGGATTTCCTTGATAAACATTGAGCGAGGGTATGTCAGCGACCACCAGGCGTTACTACCAGATGCTTCAGTGTGGGTTACAGACCCGCTGAAAATAATAAGTACCAATTAACCAATATTTAAGTTTTCTACAGTGATACACATGAATAGAAACGTTTTTGCTGCAAAATTTTAGAATTTTTATAAATTTCGTTTACTCCTTTCCTCCCAGAAACTAATATAATCAAATTATTTTAAGTAAGTTTCTTACCTATGATAGTTGCCATTATTATTGCCATCAATAGCTTTTTCAGCCCTTCCGTAACCACTGGTATCAGACTGTTTTGCCATTCCTTTGCTTGCGATGTTCTCGACCTCTGTAGTTGAAAGTACTCCATCTAAGTTGAAAAATGCGTTCCTCAGTTACATAATAAGAATGATTTAGTTTAAGTAGTCGAATCGCTTCTCAATCAAGTTCCAAAACTGCTAGGTACCTAGACTCTAAAGTCGAATATATTACCTGCTCCTGCTTTTAAACAATTGAGGGCACAGGCGTTAATCCGTTGATGTAGTTTCCTGCACGACTTCGCCCGAATTCCGGACAAAGTATTAGATCCTATGGTTACACATCCGGCAATTTTCGTCGGGAAACCTGTACATAAAATTGGTAATGCAATATTTGTAGGTTTGCTGTGTTCCTACTTGAATTTACTTTGCGTTCTTTACTTTGAGAAGGATCAAACAAAGAGAAACAAGGAGGATAACAACGTTAGAACAAAAGGGTATATTAGGGAATAGAACAACACGTACAAACAAGACCGACAAAAGGGAATAGGAAAAATGTGGGATAACTTTACTCCAAAACTCTAACTATTTATATGGGCTGATTGCTTGCGAGGCAATACTAACGGTATATCTGAAATATCTAATCAGTGCGTGGCGTTGCTTAATTAAGCTTAAAAACGGTTTAACTAATGAGCCAAATAATTGCTTAAGATCGCAATGGCTATTGACACTGAACATAAAACGGTTTGAACTTGGAACCAAATACCGTTAACTTTAAACCGACCAATATCTGGGATCCCTACACCACCCCCTCCCCAAAAATATAGGGCGGTGTGGATCAGACTGGTCAAACCATATATCGCTATAAGTCCTTATGATAATTTAAAAACAAAATGTTAAAATACTGATACAGTTCACTTTTTATAACGCATGATTTCAGGGATGTTAGGGTATATCTCCTTCTGCTTCTTGATCATAGGTTCATCAGCTGTTCCTTTTGTGTGGGCTTCCGAGGAGCCACTGTCGGCTGCGACGTTCGGGGACTGTGTCTTCCTGCACAATAGACGAAAACCAATTGGGGTAGCCAATGCGAAACGATGAGCTGATGAGGAGGGCATTAACTTTGAAGGAAAAGGGATGTCGTATTCCTTGTTGACCGATCAGATAGGCTTTCTGATCATGACCAGCACAAAGATCGTATTGTCGGGGTTAACCGGGTGTACGTTGCATCCCGTTAACCAGGACTCATTCCTAGTGCTGGATCATGTTGGTGGCGAATCTGATACGTGCCAACTTGGGCCGAGATTTGAGGAGGGTTCTTAGGAGTCCGCATTGTGGGATGGGGATTAGTAGTATGGTCGCTGCTCAGTGATGCATGATATTCTGCTTATATCGTAGTTCCTCGCTGGGGCTCGTAGCACTGCCTTGGGTCTCAAACCGGCTCTCCTTGTAGCCCTGTCATTGGCATTGGAAGTTTGAGCGTTAGGTTCCTGGGACTGTTGCGAATCATGAGGTTCCGCTGCATTCTGCTCATCATTTTCGTCATCATTGTCGTCATCATTGTCGTCCTCTGGCACGTCCTGGTGCATTGGTTCGTCTGTCCTGCTGGTTGCAGCGACTGGTTCCGTATGTGTTGCCGTCTGGCCATAGTAGCTGTAGTCTGGGGACCAAGCGTCATCATCTGAATCACTGATACTCTCCTCTGGGTTTTCCTCCTCGTCTGGTTCCACTGGGTTTGTCAGCATAGGGTCCGTTCTGAAGTTGGTTGGTAGTTTCCGGATTTTGTCGAAATGTACCACCTGTTCTTTCCCTGTTTCGTCTGACACAATTTCGAAGTTGACCGTCCCTAGCTTTCGAACAATCGTGTGTGGACCGGTAAGAGGTAGCTTGAACTTGTTATACTCTCTGCCTGGCTTTATCGCAGGCACATAAATCATCACTTTGTCCCCAACGTTGTACTCCGTCAATCTTACACACTTGTCATAGTATCGCTTCTGCTGCTGCTGAGCCCTCTTTATGTTCTTTGCTGCGAGCTCCCACGTATCTTTCAACTGGTGATAAAGTCGAGAAGCAAGATGATGTTGGGATTGATAGTATTCCGACGAAGTAGTTCCAAAGACGAGATCGTTAGGCACTCTGGCTTCTCTTCCGTGGAGTAGGAGGAAAGGTGTGAAACCGGACGATTTGCAGACGCTGGTGTTCATAGCGAAGGTCACGGCCCCTATTCTCTCTGGCCATTGATCGGGATTCTCCTCAATATATTTTGTGAGTGCCACCTTTATCTGCTTGTTCTTGTTCTCTGCGAGGCCGTTGGTTGATGGTTTGTATGCTGTCGTTCTTGACTTCTGGATCTGCAGCACGTTGTACAGCTCCTTCATCACTTTGCTGGCGTCAAGGTTGGCTCCTTGGTCGGATAGAATTCGTTCAGGCACTCCGTGGTTGACTATCCATGAGTTGATTAGGGCCCTAGCAATGGTTGGTGACTTGGCATCGGTAAGTGGTACTGCAACAACCCAGTTCGTAAATTTGTCGACCATGGTTAGGCACCACTTGTACTGCGCAACTCGTGATAGAGGTCCAATAAGGTCGATGCACACAAGTTCGTTCGGCCTAGCCACCGAGAATGGGTGGAGTTCTGCTTTGGGCTTTGCTTTATACGCCAGGTTAGGCAGAAAACACCTTTTACAAGTATTGCAATAGAGCTGAACTTCTGTCTTCATCTTTGGCCAGAAAAATGAATTCCTCAGTCTCTCCAGAGTTTTGGCTGGTCCTAGGTGACCCGATGCCGGGATGTCGTGGTTGTTAAACATCATCTCTTCCTTTAAATCCTTCGGTACGCAGATAAGGAGCCTATACTTCTTCGTACCCTTCCATTTAAAACAGAGAAGATCCTTCTTATTCACAGTGAGAGATTCAAAGCAGCTGTAGTACTGACGCAGGTCTTCGTTGAACCCGGTTGTCTCTCTCTTCTCTGGTTTTCCATTCACGAACCATGACCTCACGGTACTAAGGGTCTCGTTTTCTAGTTGTGCCTCGAGCAAAGTTTCACTGCTAACGTTTGGCGCTGGTATAGGGTTATCAAATGAGCCTACGGGTCCTGTGCTTTGCTCCTCTTCATCTTCTTCGGTCTCTGATGCTCGATCATTAACGAATGTCACAGAATTTGTCAGGGATACGTGACTTGATGGTTTCTTCTGCTTCTTCTTCTTTTCCTTCTTGCAGAGAGTCGACTGACCGCCTTGTGATCCCGACGACGAGGAGTGACCTGTCGGCGAGGGGTGTGAACATCTGCTGCAGGGAGCGTCACTATCATGATCACTATCAGAAGAGCTTTCCGTGTCGACTGAAACTGGGTTGATGACGTGTGGGAGACTTCTTGCATCATACTCATTCTGATTTGTCTTGATTGTCTCCAGAAATTCGTCTTTCTTTTCCACTGAAGAAAATCTGTCTTCCCACCACTCGTAAAGCATATCACTTTCCTGGGGTAGTCTTGAGAGTGCGTCGGGAAGCCCCATGTCGTCGCCCTTCGTGTAGGTGATCTTGAAATCATACTCTTCTAGCTCCATAATCCAGGACAGAAGGACGTCACAGTTGGTCTTTCTGAGAAACTTGTCCTGTGATATAGCCTTGTGATCCACATGAACAATGAAGGGTTTTCCAATGGTGTAGAACCTCCAGTGGGTGGCGAAGTGCTTGAGGGCCAGTAACTCTCGTTTGAAGGTGGGGTAGGCTCTCTCGGCTGGAGAGAGTATCTTTGACCCATAGGAGATCGGGTAGAACTGTCCGTCAATCATGTGGCCTATCGAACCACCAATACAATACGAGCTACTATCCGTAAAGAGGTGAAGAGGTTCTGTCGTGATAGGATATATTAGGATGGGTGCCTTGGTCAAGGCATCTTTTAACTTCTTGATGCTCTCTGTTGCGTCTTCGGTGAGGACGAACTTAGGTTCCTTGAGGGTGTTGATCATGGGTCGTGTCAGCTCTGCAAAATCTTTGACAACATTCCTGAACCAATTGAAACTTCCTAGAAGTGCCATCATCATTTTCTTCGTCTTTGGGAGACACATGTCCTGAATTGCCTCAATCTTCTTTGGGTCTACTTCAATTCCATCTTCGGTGAGGTTTGCTCCTGCGAAGGATACTTTCTTCTGGAATAGTCTGCACTTATCCGGGTGGAGCTTTAGACCTGCAGATTCCAGACGTCTGAACAGTTCTGCTAGTAACTCAAACATCTCCTCAAATGTTATTCCACCTGCGATGATGTCATCAACGTAGCCTGCTGCTTTATCCCTCAGGCCTTCAAGTAGTCTATCCAAGAGTGACTGCATCGTTGCTGGGCATCCTTTAAGCCCCAAACTCATAACTATGTTGCGGAAGTGTCCGATAGAGGGGATCGTCCACGCTGTTCTGTCCCGGTGTTCCTCCTTGATAGGGACTTGGTAGAACGCTTCTCGTAGGTCAAGGCTGCAGAAGTACTTGCATCCGTGAAACGTTGAGGTGAGTGTGCTGAGAGCTGGTAGTGCTGCTCTGCTGGCGATCGAGATCTTGTTGAGCTCCCTGTAGTCGACACAGATTCTAAACTTGTTAGGCTTCTTCACGATGACGACCGGTGAACTGTAGTCAGAGTCCGTTCTTTCGATAACCCCTCTCCTTAGGAGAGCTTCAATCTCCTCAACACAATCATCAATAGCATGAAGTGGTACGGGACGGTATTTACACCTAACTGGGACGTCAGATGTCAATGGAATCGTGTGTTCTACTAAGTGAGTTTGACCTACTTCGTCTCTGCTGAGTGCGAACACGTGTGAGTATCTAGCGATGAGACTTCGTACCTGTTGTCTTTGAGCTTTGTTCAGCGAGCTGCTCTCGAGATCCAGTGCTTCGCAGGTCTTGTCCGTCCGCTCCTTGTGTTCATCTTCCTGGCTGGTGTCCTCCACTTGATTAATAGCTGATAGCGAGATCAGTGGAGTTGTGAAGTCTTCATTTTGGAGCCTCCTCTGTTGGTAGTCAATGACCAGGTGGTGGCCACTGATGAAGGGAATTCCGAGGATAATGTGAGGAAGGGGGTTGTCGATCACGATGAATTTGGACTTCATGTTTGTCCTGTTGATTTTAATGCTCAGTTCAATGGAGCCACGAACGATGACTTTAGTACCTGTGACTCCGGCAAGGTTTGCCGTGCACTTGTTGAGGTTTCTCTGTTCAATTCCTAGGTCTTTTAGGTGTTCTGATGAAATGAGGTTTTGAGAGGAGCCTGTGTCAATCAACATAAACTCGGAAGGCCGGCTACCGACTTGGGCTTCTATGTACACGTCTCCTTGACAAAGGTATATACTATCAGGGGCCCTCCCCCTTTTGTCGTGGGAGGGCCTTATTAGTTTTCCGAAGCCGGGTTGTTGTGGGATGAAGAACCTCCGTGTTGATTCTGGTTCCTGTCTCTGTACTGGTCCCTCTGCTTTGTCCTGCAGTCCCTTACTATATGACCAACTCTGTTGCAATAGAAACAAGTCCGTGTCTCCTGGTGCCTATATCGTGATGGTCCGCTTTGTCCTGCATCTATACCTCGAGTGTGCTCAGGTCTGAAGTTCATAGGCGCTCTTGCTTGTTGCTGGTGGTGAGGGTAGAAACTGCGTCGTTCAGCTGGGAATTCAGCCCTAGTTCGAGGAGGTTCTGGTGTATGCCTGTTGATAGCGAGAATGTCGTGTGTCTGATCGTTGATCTCCAATGCTGTGCTGACTCCCATGGCCGACTCGATTTTCTGGGCTCTTGTCAGGACCTCGGTGAATGTCCTTGGCGTATCGGTCAAATCCATCTGCCACATTGAAAGCTGTAGTACAAGATTCCTGTTCCGCAGTCCATTCTGGAACACAAGCTTTAATAGATCTTCGTTGGCCGCAGCCCCGTACGCCTCAAAGTACGCTCTTTTAACCCTGCTTCCGAAAGTAGCGATGTCTTCGGATAGTTGTTGAGCAGTCTTCAGGAATTTGCTCTTCAGGGCCTCTTTGTCTATGACTCTGTCTGAGTCTAGTATGGCCATCAAGGCCGGCTTAACTGTTTCTTCCCAGTTTGTCTCTTCCTCATCTGAGAACTGTCTCGAGCTGATGAGTTTTAGTGCATCCGTCTCCAGGAAGGTTTTGAGGACTCCCAGGTATATACCTTTGGGCAGGTGGAGCAGCGTCATGTATGATTCCCATCCAAGGATCCAATCAGAGAATGTGGACAGAGCTGGGTTGAACCGCTCTGGCTTTCGTGTGGGCAGGTAGGGTACCTTGCCTTGGTTGTCCTTGTCCGACTGTGCTTTAATCCTTTCTGCGACATATGCTTCGAGTTCTTCTTGGTTTGCGAAGGTTCGTTCTCCCATGATGATGAATAGATCCTACCGTTCGCGCCACTTGTAGGTTTGCTGTGTTCCTACTTGAATTTACTTTGCGTTCTTTACTTTGAGAAGGTTCAAACAAAGAGAAACAAGGAGGATAACAACGTTAGAACAAAAGGGTATATTAGGGAATAGAACAACACGTACAAACAAGACCGACAAAAGGGAATAGGAAAAATGTGGGATAACTTTACTCCAAAACTCTAACTATTTATATGGGCTGATTGCTTGCGAGGCAATACTAACGGTATATCTGAAATATCTAATCAGTGCGTGGCGTTGCTTAATTAAGCTTAAAAACGGTTTAACTAATGAGCCAAATAATTGCTTGAGATCGCAATGGCTATTGACACTGAACATAAAACGGTTTGAACTTGGAACCAAATACCGTTAACTTTAAACCGACCAATATCTGGGATCCCTACATATTGAATCAGTAGCTGCTGTCTCTGTGATATATTTTCGATAGAGGACAATGAGTCGACTGAGACAGTATAGCACGTTAGCCCTTTTTAACCTTTAAACCCCCATGCACTGCTTATGTTTATGATCAGTTGTGTTTTCTATTAAAGTATGTTTAAAACACTCGGTTGTATGATACTGTATATATCCTGATCTGATTTTGTTATCAAGTACCGGGTAAAAAAATCCTGGGCCAAAATTCATTGGGCTCTCATTCTTTTTTTTTTTTTTTTCAGTTGGACGCACCGTTGGCAAGACATTTGTCCGAGTAAGCTTTTATGTTTTTCTTGTTAGCCGGAGCCGAGTTGCAGTCTATCTGTGCATGACACCTCAAAATGAGGGTCAGGGTAACGGCAGTTAGAACGAGAACTGAGTGCTTCATCTGCACGAAAAAACGAAAATTACTGAAAACTGACCAATTGAGAAAAGGAATTAGAGTTATGAATATGTTTGTGCAGTTTGGGGAATGGAGTTTGAGTCCACATGGAAAGGCGTGGCATTGAACTTGTATAATCGTAAGATCACATATTACCTCATGTTGTTGTTGTTGTATGATAAATGCAACTACATTACTGCAGTTGCCCTGTCTGGACTGCGCTAGTAGTCGGGGACTAACTAGGTAAGAGTCACAGCATACAGGTCCCGGTATCCATTGCAGGGAAGTGATCATGTCAAGGGTTGGTTGCACCAGCGCTTGTGTGAGACGGAGAGCAGAGCTCACTCCGAAACAGGGACTGACATAGTTGTTATCCTCCACAAGACACTAAACCTCACATTCTTCAATGGAAATGCAGGAATTTATATCGCGTAGGGGTTTCGTTAGCCCTAGGCATCCTCCATCACCATACCACACAGAATTGCGAGCCCAGAGCACACTATTTAAACCCGAGGGTACGCGTGCGATTGTGCGATACAGCTAAGAGAGATACCTCAGGACATCCTTGACCGCCCAGACTGGCACCCCTAATGGCCAACAACATTGCAGTGCGGCTGTAGCCCATACAGCATTGAATCTACTGCAGGGCTGTAATAAAAAAGCACACAAAGCTTCAATTTACCCCTGTTAGCAACGTCACATCTATGGTAGATGAGACGCCGGGCAACAGGGGCTCCTCATGTTGTTCAACTATGTGTAAATTTACCTGGAAACCCAAAGCTATTCGTTTGAATGTAATATTAATGAGAGCTGGTCGAGACAATTGATCTCTATAAGTGGGTGTTTAGCTGCCCTCAGAATACATTGTAAGTTAGCTCAATCGGAAAATATTATGATAAACAAGAAGTCTTCATGGCGCCCCGGTAACTCGTACTCTGTTTTATAGATCTATTGACTATTATATATTTATAATGTTAAAGTGTTGAATACGCTATAGCACAAGTTATAAAATCACATACGACTAGGAACCGACTACCGGTCTAGGGATTTGGCTGCTGGAGCGGAAACGGTCGGATATCGATCTATTTTCCTGTTTGCCAGATCGGAGTGGAAAACAGGAGAATTAATATTTTTTTGGACATTTTAAAAATTTCCGACCGCTGGTTGCTAGATGTCAGAAAATTAAAAAATGTATCTTAACAGTTTTAAAATTTCCGAGATCGTGCACCATGCACATTGCACCTCATGCCATTAGACCCTGTGATCCTTTACGAAACTTTCAGGAAATCTACGTTTGACCCATATCTCTGAAAATATCGCCCTAAAATGTAAACAAACAATTATCACCTCATCAGCCTCCTGAACATGTGCTCGCCCTAAAATGTAAACAAACAATTATCACCTCCTCAGCCTCCTGAACATGTGCTCACTATTAATGTAAACAAACAATTATCACCTCCCCGCCAGTATCCACATCTATACTCACTGAAATTGTTGTGCAATTCTGACACGAATTACTTGATTTATTAAAGGGTTGCGTGTGGGCAGTTACTTTTGGGCCACCATTGACCCTGTATATTTTAAACCAAACCCCAAAATTGAGTAGAGTGAACCTTCGCCACGGTAGAAGCTGTTCCGAGAAAATTAAAAAGACCACCTTTCAGCTGCTACAGATTTGGCGACCTAGCAAATAATTAGAGACAATAGTGTAATGTACAAAACACCAGAATCCGCTCTGAAGTACAAATTAGGCCTTATCAGTCACGTGTAGGAACCGACTGGTCTGTGGTTTTGGCTGCCGGACTGGAAATGGCCGGCCGCAGGATATCAATCTAAATATCCGGTTTGTCAGATGTTGTTGGACCGAAACTGGGTGTATAATTGACACGTACGTTGCAACCCCTTTTCGCGCGGTAAATCAAATCGGGAGACATCTTTTTCTGGCCTGAAGTTCAGATTGAAGAACCCGACATGTTATTTTTAGTCAATAACCAGAAATAAATTGTTCGATAGTTATACAATTTATCTGAAAGGTTTGAAATGTCCAACCTTGATTAAATTTAACATTTTCCTAAAGGTTTTGCAATCTCCGATCTCAAGCGATGATCATTTAGGGGTCGTTCAGATATTACGTAATCAATATTTTAGCAATTTTTACCCCCCTCCCCCCTTCCCCCCGTAATCAACCGTAATCAAGACCCCCCCCCCCCCCCCCCCCCCCCTTTGACTTTTTCCCTGGAAAACACTTTTCTCTACGTTTCATGGTACCCTGATCATTATGAGTGCCAGAAATCATTCTTATGATATCCGGCCAAGCACCTTCCCAACTATTCACTGGCAAGTCGGATACCTGATTGATTCCTAAATTTTATCACTATCTGAGTGGAATTTTAATTAAAATATTGTCAAATTGTTACAATAATGTTACCCGTAAGCATTTGGGAACCTCTTCCCCCCTCCGCTGATTACGTTATATGTGAACGACCACTTACGAACTTGAAGTATAATATTCCTTCGTTTGTTTCCACTATAACCTCATGTTGTTCAACTATGTGTAAATTTACCTGGAAACCCAAAGCTATTCGTTTGAATGTAATATTAATGAGAGCTGGTCGAGACAATTGATCTCTATAAGTTGGTGTTTAGCTGCCCTCAGAATACATTGTAAGTTAGCTCAATCGGAAAATATTATGATAAACAAGAAGTCTTCATGGCGCCCCGGTAACTCGTACTCTGTTTTATAGATCTATTGACTATTATATATTTATAATGTTAAAGTGTTGAATACGCTATAGCACAAGTTATAAAATCACATACGACTAGGAACCGACTACCGGTCTAGGGATTTGGCTGCTGGAGCGGAAACGGTCGGATATCGATCTATTTTCCTGTTTGCCAGATCGGAGTGGAAAACAGGAGAATTAATATTTTTTTGGACATTTTAAAAATTTCCGACCGCTGGTTGCTAGATGTCAGAAAATTAAAAAATGTATCTTAACAGTTTTAAAATTTCCGAGATCGTGCACCATGCACATTGTACCTCATGCCATTAGACCCTGTGATCCTTTACGAAACTTTCAGGAAATCTACGTTTGACCCATATCTCTGAAAATATCGCCCTAAAATGTAAACAAACAATTATCACCTCATCAGCCTCCTGAACATGTGCTCGCCCTAAAATGTTTAGTTAAATATTTAGTTGAATTTTCAACATTGCTTATAGTTAATAAGATAACCTTATATAAACGTTAAAGCATAAACCTCAAGTCTCGATGCTTATTTGACGATTTGGTATTTCTCTAACTACGAGACTCCATAAAATGTAGAATTATCATTAGCCACTAGCTCAACTATTGGGAAAGACTCGTACAGCTTAAATCGATGTCTCTACAGCGTAGACGGGAGAGGTATATCATCCTGATGATGTGGAAGATTCTCCATAATGTGGTACCAAACTGTTGTGATATCAAGTTCAAGGTGACCCCAGGACACGGGGATGTAGCTGTCATACCCTCATTGTCAAAGTCAAGTTCCTTACGCAACCAGTCACTGTACGACAGGTCTTTTGCAGTTCAAGGACCGAAGGTGTGGAACAAAGTGCCTCACACAGTAAAGGCTGATTCATCCTTTGACATGTTTAAGTGTAGTTTGTCGAACTTTCTTGCTTTGATACCGGACAACCCTCCGGTCGCCGGCTACAGCTGCAGTTGGTCAAACTCACTCATGGTCGACTACTCGCCATCCAGGTGGTCAGATATCTGATGACCCTTCCGGCTCCACGGATGAACTCAACGAAGTAACGAAGTAACGAAGTAACGAAGTAACGAAGTAAGTTAGTAATATACAGTAATAGTAATATATGCTGTTGTATAATAAAGAATGTTATATAATAAGAATTAATAAAAATCTGAATTTGACGCACCGCCCACGTAAAATGGAGATTACCTCAACTTTATGAATACGAATCATCGGGACTATCTCAATAAAGTTATTAATAAATATTATCATTTAATAACAATATAACATCTTATCCATTTAGGGCATAAACTGTAGTCTTAAAAATATCTTAAATCTAAATAACAAAAATTCTTATTAAGATGAGGTTCTTGTTGTGATTAAAATTCAACTCATCGCTTGACTGTATTTTGGGGAATAGGTATATATCTAAAGATTTATATATTCATTGATTCGCCAGGAAGCTTTAAATATCCTGAATTCTCTAAAACTATTTTATTTGTATATCACTTACCAGATTTAGTGTTGTAGGTACCTAACCCTTCACATTCTTGAGAAACTATTTTCTCTGACAAATTTCAGATTCCTGGGGTATGAAGTAGGTATGAAGCGACTGATACTCCTTACCGTGTTCCTCGCCACCGCGATGCTGATGACTCAGTTACCAGAAGACTCCATAACTTTCAACTATACCTTTGCCCTCAACGTGATAAGGAAAAACCACGTTGACTTGAAGTTAGTCCCAGCTAAGACTGACTGCGGAGACTTACTGTACGAAACTATTTCCTTGCGTCTGATGAAGAAGATCTTCAAGGGTACGGACAGTCAAGTGTCTAATGATGTTGATACCATGAGATGTCAGTTCAACGTAGACGCAGTTTACAGCTTATATTCGTACAGATACTACAAACTAAATATCAAGAACCTCTTGAAAAACTCAGCATGGTCCTGCGAGCTGGAGCCTAACCTATTGTGTGATGGAACCTCTCACTGTGCTACAGACGAGTGTCACTGCAACCCTCAAACCAACACCTCCGCGTTTTACTTCTACTGTTTTGATGGCTCTGGTTGCATCTCCTCGGACAAGGTGTGTGATGACAGACAACAGTGTCAGGACGGGTCAGATGAGTGTTTTTGTCAGGGGGTTGTTCAGCTGTCTTGTCCTATGAGCGAGAACAAGATTTGTTTGTCTCCGCAAGAGTATTGGAGTCGGGAGGAGGAAATTGAGTCTCTTAATTGCACGGTGGAAATTAAGGCTCCAAATCATGAATCATATAACAACACCGACTTTAGAAATCCAGTCCACAGTTGTTTATATACACTAAATAATGAACATTTA